CTGCTACATATACAGTAGAAACAAAAAGAGCTTTAAAGCTGAAGAATTTTTCATATTGGATTTAGAAACCATGTTTTGATAGAAAATGACAATATTAAAAATATACTATTCCCCATTATACATCGCTATATGATCGAGACCTAACAACTCATCTGTCAATCCATAATCCGATAAAATAATATCTATTGAATGCGCGTAATGATACTTATCAGTAATTTAAAATTTTCAAAATAAAAATCAAAAAAAACAAGTATACATACTATTATCTTCTATATACTGAGGCTTGGCATATGATACTGTTTGTATAATTGCAAATTTTACTTTCGAGAATTCTATTTCGCTCATTCCTAAGCGCAATCGAAGGCGCAACTTTGTCACAGAGAAGGGTTCACCCTAATTATATAATAAATAAAAATCATAGCATTCATAAATATAAATAAACACATGAAATAACATTTTAAAGGCACTTACAGCTTTAAGAACAAATTTAAATGGAATTCCATGTGCGTGTAACGGCTTCTTAGTAAAATGATATGCTTGAATAATTTTATCATTAACTCTTAGTTCAATTTCATCTTGTGGTATTTCCTAAATATGAAATAAATTATTTTTCAAAAATAGAGATAATCAAAAAGTCACAAGAAAATGAAACAAGAAAATAAAAGAACAAACCTCAGCGTATAAAGTTATCTGTTCCTGTATTTTACTTATTGGATCATTAATGTTATATTCATTACGAATTTTGCAAGATAAGACATCATATAATCTAATTCTATGAGTAGGTTTCGCCAAAGCTAGTTTTTGTACAATTACTCTAAGAACTTCATTAATTATAGCAGACTTTGGAAGATAAATATCAATCACTTGCTTTAAGAAGAAAAATCATAATTAATGAATTGGATAATATATAAATTTAAATATTATGATGTTCTTTTACCTCTTCCTTAATAGTTGTCCAAAGCCAATGTACTTTAAAAAACTTTTTAGTTTCTAATTCAATAATACTAATGTCAAGCGTCTCATAATACAAAAGCTTCGCTGAATTAGGCACATAGGTTGTTTGAAGCATTTCTGACAGTGTTTGCGTGGTCGTACTTTTAATTACAGTTTTGTATGTACCGCTAGTTGGATGTGACGTTGTAAATCGTAATTTCAAAGGGTCCATGTTTAAAAAAACAGCGACATGTTTAGTGAACTATAAAGTATAAAGAAAAAAAATAAATACATATTAGTTAAATAGATTATTAAATTAATACAAGACATTA